GTGTGTGTGTGTGTGTGTGTTGTTGCAGGAGGAGTTCTGTTTCCCTGTGGAGTGTCTGTCTCTGACGGTGGAGGAGGTGATGCACATCAGACAGGTATTGGTCAAGGCAGAGCTGGAGAAGTTCCAGCAGTACAAAGAAATCTACAATGCTATGAAGAAAGGAAAGGTAATTTGTATAAAACCATTCAACATGGCTGTTGTTCTTCTTCTACTGAATTGATAGAATTGTATCTTTCTACACTTTGCCATAGGTGAAAGAGCAAATACGTTAATAATAATAATAATAATACTAATCTCATTTTTTTTTTTCCATCTCTTTTTTCTCATAGCTTTGCTTCTGTTGTCGAACCAAAAGGTTTTCCTTTTTCACCTGGTCTTACATCTGCCAGTTTTGCAAAAAGTAAAACATTTCAAATCTTTATCTCAACTGTTTTCAAGATTTTATGTAGGTAATCTAAGAAAGTATAAATACTTAACTTCACTACTTCCTATTCATTTCTCTTTTTCAGGCCTGTGTGTTCACAGTGTTGTAAAAAGGTAAATCTTACAGAATAACTCTCTGAGCTGGGCATGAGAATGTGAGGTTTCACAACAAAGGATCATTTTGCCTCAGTATTGTTTCTCAGTTGTTACATTCATGCCTTCCTCATCTGACAGATGCGGCTGCCATCCAAACCTTATTCCAGTTTGCCCATCTATTCCATTGGCTCGACCAAAACACTCCCGAGGGAGAGGATAACTGCCATGGCTGCTGTGGGACAAGGACACTCTGTGGCCGAAGGGCCGGGGCCGTCAGTCGAGGGAGGGATCGCGCCGTCCCCCGTTGTGAAGAGGGCAACGATAGGATCACCTAAAGGAGCTGCAAGACCTGCTGGAGCAGCAGCCGTTGCAAAACCTGATGGAGCAGCAGCCGCTGCAAAACCTGAGAGATCCTCCAGTAGCCCACAGCGCCACAGCATCCAGAAGACCATGTCCAAGTAAGAGCCATGAACACAATTATTCACTTACTCAGACTCACAACAGAGGATGATGTGTTTGATCTGGATAAAGATGTTGCTGTTGTCATTACTGGGACTGTGACACAGGGTTTGTATGTTTGTAGATTAACCTCAAGAGAGAAAAATACTCCAAATGCTCACAATCTTTTTAATTCAGATTCAGAAAAGTCTAGTGGATGAAATGTTATAATACCAAGGTTGTGCTTTTTGTTTTTGATTCACCAATAAAACATCTGATAGCACCCACAGGTATTTTAGCCATGGTAATTTTATGAGGATATATTTCAAAAGAAAGTTGTAAATGTGTGAACAAAATTATAAAACTTTGTATGCTGAGAGCAAAATAATAGTTGGCCTGGTAAAGTATAATTCAGTGTTTACCCATAACAGAATAGCTGCTTTCACTCCCTTCTTCCTTGGAGCACATTTTACCGAATACTGACTTACAGTTTTGTATGTGCCACCTCATATTTGTCATGTCACGTCGTTTCTTGAAATGGTGGAATGGTCTCATAATCCTGATATATGAATTAAATCAAAGGCTCACTGCAGCACTTTTAGGTTTTATTTGTTCAGACATGGACCTATTTGTCTTGTTGAGTGGGAGTGAATTTCATTTAAATAATCAGCTGTTTGAATTGGAGGTAGCACTGAAAACTGAGGCCTGTAGCTTGTCCAGGGTAAGAAGGACATTTGTTCGGGACAGATATTTAGATATTGGTTTTTTTCCATTTCCCAATGTTGTGAGTCTAACAAAAGAGGTTCCATCTACTGAGATGGAAATATCTCAAAAACAAACACACTATAGTGGTATTGTAGTGTACAGTAGTGGTACCTGTTCATATCACTATATTTTAGAGAGAACATATGCTAGTTGTTTATTAAGTTATTTGTTAAACTGTCACCCTACAGTCAAGTTTACTTATGACTTGAACACTGAGGCAAAATAAAGTTCAAAATGTATAAATACAGTGTTTTCTCCCCTTTTTTCTGTGCTCTTCAGGTTTTCAAAGCACGGCTCTTTAAAGTCTCATGACGAACTGGAGCTTCCCTCGGAGCTGACGGAGGACTGGGCCACCATGGAGGTGTGTGTGGACTGCAAAAAGTTTATCTCCGACATAATTGCCTCCAGCAAGCACAGCCTGTCTCTTGCCACCAAGAGGGCTCGCTTAAAACGCAAGACCCAATCCTTCTACCTGTCCTCACCTAAAGGAGGGGAGGAGTACCGGCCCTCTGAACGAACAATCAACGAGATCTGAAACTCTTCATCCGTCTCCCTGGCTGCTCTCAGCTCCGATTGCACAATTAGAACACTCCCTGATATGATGATTATTGTACATGTATACTTCAGTAAGATTAAGCTGTCACAGTGGCTGGCGTGAACCTTAGTCTTAGAGAGTGTGGTCTCATTGCTGTGTCTAGATCATCGTGTACAGCTACTCCAGACAACAGCTTACTGTAGATTTATTTTTCTTTATCATAGATGATCCTTTAAACTCAGACCACAGCCTTTTGACAATGCAGAGTGAACTCCCCCCCGTCTGCTCGCACAAAAGCATGGTCCACCCCAACTCACATTTCAAATCAACAAGCACAAGACAGAAGAAGGAGCGGTGTGTGACGCCCTCAGGCACTTGCACTGCAGGAGACACAGGGCCTGCACAGACCACATGTTGGGAACTGAGGGTGAACAGATACTGTGGACTATCAAACTGTTAGTTTTATATGGGTTTTAAATTAGTTGTTTGTTTTTTTACACATGTGTATGTACAGTAAATGATTGTTCGATAAAAGGTCACCCATTTGTAGCTTTATTTTGCTGATGAAGCTTAATGAGGTTTCATCTTTACAAAGCATCACTGTTCTTTAGGAAAAAAAAACATCACATGTGTTTTATTTTGCATCACATCAAGAAACATCATTAATGCAGAACTAGTGCCAAATATACCTTCTTTCTCATCAGTCTAACGCCGGCTGTTTTTTTAAAGTGAACCCCTGTTAATAAAAAATGTGGTTCCATTCCAAATCAGATGCATTTCTCTATGTTAAATATCCAAGCTTCAGAAGCACTGCTTAAAGCAAATGTTTCTTGAAAGACACCTTCAAATATATTTTAGTTGGAGATTACTCTCAAACTCACTGTTAATCTCATGTGATTAAGAGTGTCCTCGCAATGTAAATGGGTTTGGGTAAATAAATAGTATTTATCTTGCACTTTTCCAGTCCAATCTACCACTCAAAGTGCTTTACTGTACTATTCACATTTACCCATTTACACGCATTCATTTCTATAACATTTTTCTATTACATACTTTAACGGCCATCAGCAGCAAATTGGGGTTCAGTATCTTGCCCAACATTTCGGAATGCAGGCTGATGAAGCCTTGGATCAAACCACTGCCCCTCTGGTTAGTGGACGGCCCTCACTCCCTCCTTGGTTCCTAGGGTTGGGGATGGTGTTACATAAACAAGTGAGGCACTTGTAAGAAACATATTATGAAAAATCTTTTACAGCCTGTATAGGTCAAGCTTCAAAAGTGCATAATATCCCAAAATGCAACTCAACAAGCATCCTTTGTTAGACCTGCCCCCGACTGGGAAATGCCCATATCTTTTCAATTTCACAGAGATCTCTGAAATCATCCAGATGATATCATCATGTATTTAATATTACCTAGCTGTAGTGAGTAACTTCATGTGGAAATTGTTGCAGTGCCCCATATATGAGAAATAACCCTACAACTGTCATGTGATTTGTGTTGCTAAATCCTGAGCCCCGCCCACTTCAAATCAGAAATATGACAAGCACAAGACAAAAAGAAAATACTGTTGGATCCCATCACAAACACTAGGTAGCTGATTCAGAAAAGGGTTTTCGGTCTTTTAATGTTGCCTAACCAGACAAACATAACAGACATGTACAGTATGTTCATTTGGAATCATTATTTTGTGTATTTGTGTCTCTCAGATGTGCATAGAACCAAACATAGAAACATTATTATCTGCAGTTCCACGTATAATTTTTCAGACTTGCCTTTTAATCATATATATGAAACAGCTGCATATTTTTGCGTTTATTTTTAAATATACCTTTACATTGATATATATATAGTGTTAACTCCATTATAAGACTCCTGACTTGAGTTATCATGTAACAAAACACCAAATTTGTATGTGTTTGTACTGATATACATTGAATGAATCCTATCTGTCAGTACAAACATATGACAACACGCACAATAAGTGTTAAAATAATGCCTTTATGATTTCCCTCCATCTTCATTCAGAGTCTCATAGGTAGGATTGATTACCCGAGTTGTGGCTTGGGTCCATTTTACTCTTCATCACATTCCTCCTGTGATAATTCTGCCTTAAAATTTGCCTTTTTTATGGTCACACTCACATGTTGAACAGTCATCTGCTGTTACTGTACATACAATGTTTCTGATGGTTTTTTGGTAGGTCAGGTCTGTGTTGATCCAGTGATATATCAACAGTGTGTTCAGCTCGGCATGATGGTGAGGTATTGGAGGTCCACAGGGGGGAAAAACCCTCACCGTGTGACAGACGGGATCATGCATGTACTACAGTGTAGCTTGTACCTTAAAGTCTGTATTACCTTCAAGCTGTAACTCCCTGCAGAGTTTGCAACAGATGATGACTACAACAATAAACTAATGGAAAACCTGTCCAGTGTTTGTTATTCAAAACTAGTGCAGTGCCTGTTCTAAACCTTCCTGTATGAACTTGGCCTGTGGTAATGCTCAGGAGCTACTTCAAGAATTATTTCTTATCATTCCCTCCTCAAACAGTTCTACAATATACTGTCACTTTTTTATTGTTTGCATGCTGGACATGGTGTGCAGAGATATTTATTTACAGTCAATATTTTTCATGAACATTTACTGAATTAGCTTCTTAATCGTTCACCTATGTGGCTCATATATGAGTTTGAATGATTTACTGAACTGCTGTGATTTTTCCATACATTGCATGTTGGCTATTCCACAAAACTCACCAGCAATCTACACAATCTTCAACTCTCATCTCAATTTTCCTAATAACAATGGGGATCATACTGTTATGGTTTCAGCTCCTACAAAGTGGTTTAAAAAATCAACTGAATGGTTTTTATTTTATTTTATACAAAAGTTAGCAGGGACATGTGTGATTTGATTATCAACAAAAAACCCTGCTCGATCGATATGCTACATCAGGGGTCCCCAACCGGCGCACTCCAACTCTTCTTCACTGAAAAAAAAGAGAAAACATCGGCGGCCGAGTTTGACATTTAAGAGGCTTTTAATCAGGTTTTTAATCAGGCATAATGACGCCAGCCCAGTGGAGCCGTCTGGGTCCTAAGCGTTGCTATCATACACAGCGTCGGTTGCTAGGTAGAGAGAAGCACGCAGACACACGGATGTAGGAGACATCAGGGAAGTTGACGTTGAAACCTCGAGTCTTCCGAGCAGAGAGAGCGGAACAGTGTGAGTTTGCTCAACGAAACCAGTGTGTCTCATCTGCACCGTGAGTCTGTGGCGGCTGTTAAACGTGGCCATTTTAAAACGCCATGACGAAACTGCACACAGATGGGAGCATCGTTAATGAGTGCATGAATGCTGTGACCTGTTTCTGCCACAACAGCCACAAGTCGCATGGAAATATCAGGAGAGGATGTCCAGTCACAGCTCACTGATAGAAGTGCACCTTGCACAGCTTTAGCTGTTGATGAATCGACCGATATCAGTGGCAATGCTCAGCTTTTGCTATATGTCCGATTTTACCACTCAGAATTATGTTTCATTGCCAAGCCGGTTTACACATACAAGGAATTTGCTGTGGTGTGCAATTATTAATATAGGAAATATAAAAACAGGAAACAAAAATACTATAAGCAAAATAAAAAATACTATCGTGGAAAGGATTGTGCAAAATGAACAGTTATTGTTATTTGTGTTACAGACATGGTGAGGGACGTGAGTTCAGTTCAATTACAGAGAGGAAATAAATCTGTGAGGACATCTTAGGACAACCTCTGGTGTGCGTGCTGCACTTACAACACACACACACACCAGAGGTTGTTTCATCTTTATGGGTCAAAGAAATGTAGGCCAATGCAAATTCTAAGACAAAATGTCTATTGCACTTTGTTTCATGTTTGTCCAGCAAAGGCATTGTATTTTTGCCAGTTTGTGTTAGAATGATTTTGTGTAGTTACAAAAGCAGCATTGTGCAATAAAAATGTTAATTAAACTGATTTAGTCTGGTAAAAAGTACGAGCCTGCATTTGTATGTAATTATTCGGACCCCAGAAGGGGAGGAGGGTTGATTTCTGGACCTCTTGCAATTTTTCAGTCGAAAAATTGTGCTAGACCAAACAGGAAGTCGGCCATTTTGAATTAAGTGGCCATTTCTGACCATTTATACATGCTGTGTATGAACAAACTCCTCATAGAGCTTTCATCAGATCAACTTTAAATTCAGTGAGTGTCATCTCAACTCCATAGAGAATAAAACTACCTCGATTTTTTAGTGTACATCATATGGGTTGACCATGGCGTGGCGTCAAAGTTTGATGATTCTCCAAAAAAAGAGGGACTCATCATAACTCCCCTGTGCATTGTCCAATCACCCTCAAAACTCATTCACACGATCACAGTCCTAGCCTGAACAGATCCATATGTCAATATTGATCTGTTGTCACAGCGCCACCTGCTGGTGACAGGAAGTGACATGTTTTATACTTAGATGTACTGCTGCTCACTGCTTTACAATATACAGCTCAAATGAGCTTAGACACGCTATATGAACATGGTCAGGATTGTGACATTTCCTTGAACCGTGTAAACGTTGAAGTGCAGCGAAGGTTGATTGGCGAAGTTGTCATAACTCCACTGTGCATTCTGCAATCAGCACCAAAATTCTGTCACATGATCAGTGTTCCAGCCTCAACAGCTCCAGATGTCAATATTAACTCAGGGTCATAGAGCCAACTTCTGAGTTGTCATGAAACAGGAAGGTTTTTTTTCTCCACTGTGCATTGTCCAACATTTTCCCCTTTAATCACAGCTTATTCTTCATATCAATCAGTCTCTTAAGTATATACTCTTATATTTCAAGTTTTATTTTGTTGATCT